TTCTGCATATGCTTAGCTTTAAGAAACATGTGCTTTTAATGCTTTTCTGCTATGAAACTACTATTAAAAATACATCTGATTATCAAAATCTCTTGCAGGCTAAATAAGAGCTTATTGGCACTGAATATTAGATAGAGTTCAGAGATGTCATATTTTCCTATTGTTGTGCCAAAGCTATTAAAGTTGCACCTGAAACTAACAACTCTAAACAAGCAGTCTTTCTTTGGCTTTACTGTAAGAAAGATAAAGTCCTGTTCTTCAAAGTCTGTTTATGGATTGCTGGTTTTAATAAAAAAAAATCTGACTTTGCACAATTGCTCTTCTTCAACATGCACAGTTATAACTGGTTTGTGCTCTGTATTTAAAATAAAGTGCAGAAGGCAAAAGTAGAAGTGATTCTGGCCTTTTTTCTTTTTTCAGAATGCCTGCAGCTATGGTTTTCCACTCAGCAAAGATTTTTGACCTAAAGGAATCAAGAGCAGGCAGATGCTCAGGGAACAAGTGATAAGGATCTAGGAAGATTTTAAGACCTGCAGCTCATGACAAATTAATATCCTTTACAAACAGATTTAAAATTAGCTTCTTAGCTATGTTCTGATGAGACTTTTGAGGACTCAAGGAATTCTTGGTGGTTCAGAAAGAGAACTTAACCTTCTCCTAATATGCTTCATGTTCTGTCAGCTATGCAGAGGCAATGGAAAACATTTGTCAAAACAGATGGCAGTGCTAGCCCCCCGCCATTGAATACAAATGGTAAGTTCAAGGTCCAGTTAATGGCGGGTGAGCCAAGAAACATTTGGAGATTTAGTTTAACATTGAATATACCCCAAAGAATACACTATTACAATTCCAGGACTTCTTGGCTATGGCCAAACTCTGAATACTGCAAGAACAGTAATTTCATAGTTTACACTTTCAGCCAGAACAAAGAACTGCTGAGGTGCACGAAAAATTAGATGTAGCAGTTAACATGGTTTTCAATATTTTTTTAAAAGACATGTTCAACAGCTGGTTCAGTCCAGCAGAACATTTTTTGCCCAGTGCTTCGTGATAGTCTACTATGCCATTCAATTGCCTTTCATATACTAAAATATTACCTTAAAAGCAATTGTGTATATAGAATATACTAAGAGATTAAATGTGAAAATATCTGTTTTTTCTATTTTAAACTGCTGGCATGTTACACTAAGTTTCACAGAACAGTTAGGTAAAATGTGGAAATTATGATCTGCGTAGCTGAAGTGTTTGTAATTGGTGGCATGACTACTAAAAGCAAAACAAATTTGCAGAGATGTTGTCTTACATGCATCCAATGAAATAGATACTGGGGTAACTTCTGCTGATTAAGTTAATGATGAAAAAAGTTCTTGCTATGATTTAAACAATTCACTGTTAAATAAGCAGATGTTTCTTGCCTGAGTTTGAAATATGAACATAGGAAAAGCTCCTACAAAGCGTTTGCAATAGTGACATTAGTGCTTTATATTGACCCTGATGAAGATCCTAGTTATTTCATCATGTACTATTCTGTAAAGGTAGGGTTTTTTCTATGGAATGGGTACAATGGAAGGATACAGTGCTACTCACTGCAATGCAGTAAGTGCAATCTTACACTGCACCATGTCCGTCTCTACCTAGGTATCCTTTGCCTGTACGTTAGGAATTAGGCGTCAAAGACCCAAAGTGTAACACTGTTGAGAAAATAAATAACTTTAGTCTTACACACAAGTGCCTGTCATCAGGTTCAGAATGTTTCTTCCCAGTTGTACCTTGCTGCACTCCCTTCTTCCTTCTGCACGCTGCAGGGAATGTACAGCCTCAACTTGAAATCAAAGAGCAAGGGCTGAAAGATAACTAACGTGCCTGATAGTTGTCAGACTACCCATACGTGCTTTCTTCAGCTTAACATTAATGACTTCATAAGGATTAGTTAAGGCTACCAGACCTACTCTGCTTTTTTCTTCTAGAATTTCTTGAACCTATGGGATAGACTCTTAAATTGATGACTGCAAGCTGGGTTACTGTTAACTATCTTAAGGTAAGCTGTTAGACACCCAGTGTTATTACTTTTTACACTACTTTAGAGGTGTAAAGAAGCATTCATGTGCACTATACCCTGGGTAACTTCCATGTGAGTACGGAATGATGGCAGGTACTTAATTTCTATACCTGTGGTTTCAGATTGGACCTAGAGACCATACTCAAAATCCAACTAATCTTACAAAGGTGTGAAATTCTTCCTCCTCAAAACCCTTGTGACCTTTATGCAACAAATTTGGCCAATATGTCACCATTACTTCCTGCAAAGCAGAATTGGGAGATATGTGAAAAAGCTGTTAAGTTTTTTCTTAGGAATTAGGCACTGAAGGTCAGTGCAAGAGCCATATGCAGATGTTAACACACCTCAGTTGGCAATAATTCAACTTTTAAAACATTGTATGTTCCAAATAACTGTGGCAGATGTACAATAAAGTACATAGAGATGTGGGAGGAAATAATTAATACTAAGGATCTTGAGGATCGTCTTGACAGATAACAGCTTGCTGTTGCGGCTGTCCCAGGAGGATCGCTGTTACTTGGAAGCAGCACATTTCTATGCCTCTTTTCTTGACAGTACCTGGGATTAACTAAGTCTGCTGTTACCTAAAGATCTCTGTAGACAAGAATCTATCTTGAGGAAAACGGCTGCAGAGATCCAAATTGAATGGCAAAGAATTATGGTTGCCAATTTTATTTACATAGATTATTTTTTTTTTAGCTAAGACTTTCACTGTGTAGTTTGACACTAACAAAAGTTATTCCTGGATTGAAGCATTCGGAAACAGTATAAGGGAATGAAGATGGATGTACAAAACTAGAAAACAACTCCTTTTAAGTATATCCATCATTTAAAACAGGAGAAAAAATCCATAAGTGAATTGTGTTTTCAGAAGTCTGGATAATGAACAAGGTATTTCTTGATTTTTTTTGTGAATGTGTTCAGTACTGTACAAACAAACAAAATGTTATTTTCCCTTAATACCTCTATAAACCTCAGTCCTTGCACTTTAATCCTACAGTGACAATAATAAAATATTTTATTTCATGATTTGTTATGGCTATTAATCCTATGAGCTTGGATCATTTTGTTAAATCACAATTGAAATTTAGCAAACTGCCTACTTTATCCTCCTAGTCAAACTTGTCCTCATTTGACAGGGCTCCTTTCTAATTTTGACTTATTAAATTCTGTGAGAAAGAACAATGGTGGCATCCTGTTTCTTATTACACAGGATCAACTGATCAGATAATTCAAGGTCTGATAAAATATCTCAGTGAATTCGGCTGTATGCAGTAAGCATTACTGTTGTTAGGCCATCTTAAAGTAAGAGTGCAATTCCCAATTCTTTTGCAAACAGCCTCAATATGCTATGCTTAGCAAGTACCTCTTTCTCCTGTGGAATATGGTTTTGGTTTTGTTTTGAATTTTAAAATGTACCATGTCACTTTAAGTTGCTAAATGGTGTGACTTACTAACTGTTCTTCGTAGATTGTGTTGGCATCTTGAGGACTGCGTTCTTTCTAGCTTTCTTCCCTTAAAATAGTCAGTTCTAAGAAAGCAGCATTATTCTTGTGAAAACAGCATTTATAATCTCTTGCATGTTTATCCTCCGCATCATCTTACTGGGAACATGTTTAATCTGCCAAAAGATTTTCTGAAATCTGACTGCAAACCATTCTGCAGTCCAAATTTCTCATGCAAATCCACATGACTTCAGGTAGGTAGAGAACTTCAGGTTCTCTAAGCACATTATCCGCAACCAACTTTAGTTTCCTGAGCCTTGTGACTGCTGCATATTCAAAGCACTATTCACTTATTGTACTTATCTAGTTAGACTGTATAACTTCTATCTAGGCAGTTTGCTTTCAATCTTACCTCAGTATTCACAACCTCATCTTGCTGAGAAGTCTTACCTAAGCTCCTTATCCTGAAAACTTGGGGCTTTTTATTTAACTTCCACGGCTCGCAAGCAATCCAGCTTTTGTTCAGTCGGTGTTTGGTAGGCTGGTGCATCCTCTGTGCTGCTTGGGTTTTCTTTAATCAACATATGGACTATAATATATTGTTTGTTTTGAATCTGATGTCATGGGAAAAAGTGTTGCTTGAGTCAGTATGGAAACTTGCCCAGATATGTTCAAGTCGTCTTCCTTGACTGTAGTATCTGCTTGAAGCTTTTCACTTGCCTTCTGATGGTTATTCCTGCTCATCCACAGGCTGTTTCCAGTCCAAATATAGTGCTACTTGATTGGAAAAATCCAAGAAGCGGTTCTCTTTTTGGCACGTGTTTAACAATCCTGACCAAATCCCTTCTGAAATGCCATGGTCCAGTTTGTCATAGAAGGTCACAGGCTTGCTAAGGCTGTCCCTCCGGACATTTGACTTCTGTGTCTGCACAGCTAGAAAAACTCTGAAATCTGGAATGTTTTCAAACCCTTTTCCCCCCTGCCCCCTCTGAAGTCGCTGTGAGGAAGCAGTGACCTAGGGTGCCCTTGTGAAACCCCTATTGACCCACAACTTGGAGTGTGCAGCCGGTTCAGGGCTGGGCCTTACATCGGGGTGCTGTGTTTGGGGTTTGGTTTTTTTTTGCACTGAAAGGAGCCTTTCAGATGATAGTTGGGAATGAGCTTAAAAGCACAGGCAAAGTGATTGTTTTTGCTTGGCTGCTTAACTAAAGAATATTATTCAGGGCAAACTAATGTAACTCCACTGATATTAATAAACCTGAGTTACAACAACTGAAGAACAAGCCCTTAAATTCTAGGGAAATTATTATACAGGCTGAGATTAAAAGGCTCTAATGCTGTCTTACAGGGTTTAAATAGTGTTAAGTGTTTAATACCCAACTAATTTCTAACTAGCTTTTTCTTCCTTTCTTAACTTTTCTATTATATTTTATGTTGATGTTGTAGTTTTGCTGTAAGAAAACAACAGAGCTCTGTTCAAGATAAAGCTGTCCTACCTTCAGATGTGTAGTACCTGCTCAGGACAAGAGGCTCAGCAGGCTTCAGGGCTTGCGTGGTCCTGTTGAAACATTCAGAAAATCAAACCGCAACAGCTTCTGTTTTGTAAATACCAACTGGGATTTTTCTGTAACTCTTAACCCAGCTGATTAAGAATGGATTTTTCTGGGGACAAAAAAGATACTGTTCTAACTTGAGGGTTGTCTCGCTGCCAGATTTCAAGCTCCTGTTATAAATCATTACGGCTCTTCAGAAAACAGATGAAATATGAATGTTGGCAAAACCATCCTTCACTAAGTTTGTTCCAAAAATGGCCAAACTATTTTCTATCAAACTTTAAAAAAAAAAAAATCCAGAGTCCAAGAAGAAGAAACCCGGCTGGTTGAAGTTTGACATATTTGAAAACTAAAGTATGTAATGAAATAATTCAGTCAGACTTGAACTGTCAATATCACAATGTGCTCCCCTTTTAAAGTCACATAAAGACTAAAGGGAAGGGTCAAGATACGTCCATTCTGTTTCTTTCTAACAAAAGATACCTTGGTAGACAGACAAGATCCTTGAACAGAACTGGATGCTATAGGACTTTAAGTGGGTTCCAGTGGTGGAATTGAATATAGCGTTGTAGTGCTTATTCATTAGCTACCTGGATGCTACTGGAAGATAGCAGGAAAAAATATTTGTAGATGGTATCTATTTTTTTAAGATACAGAAATGAAATTCTGGAAAGTGTAATCAATGCTTTTAAAGCTGTTAATTTTGCTTGACTCTTTCCAGGATGCTTCCCAGCATGTAGCCAATTTGTCTGGCAGTTATTAAACTATTAAAAAATTTCCTTCTGTTTTACTAAACAAAAACCCCCCACCCATTACAGAATAGTGGTCATGTTTTGCAAGTGCTGCAAAATATTTTCTGGCATTCTGGGTTGTGTTGCATGCTTGCTTAGTTTCATATAAAATGACTTTGTTCATACTCTCAGAAGTTATGTCAGTAATTATTTTTTAACACATTATGGAGTTGGGTCTACCTCAATGTCATCTGACTAACCACTCCTATTTTTGTCAGCATTAGAAATACTATATAATGTGGTTGGCTGAGGAACTACATGTAGGGAGATCTTTTTGCTTTTAGCTGGCTTTGGAGGAACTGCTGAAGACTGCAAAACCTAAACAGCGAAAAGGAGCTAAGATATGCCAGCTTTTCTCAGGCAGTACTCATCAGAGAGGGCAAGTGGGTAATTTCACCAAAGAATTAAAACCATGCTTATATATTATTGAAATAATGCATATTCTACTATCTAAAGCACTTTGGATTTGAACTCAATGGGGGAACTAGGTTATAAAACAGAGACCTTGTTGAAGTCGATCTCTTCTGGACACCCTGAAGTTGCAATGAAGATGATGGCAAAATTTAATTCATCTACAAATGGTCTCAGAATAAACAACTACTTGAATGCAATCTTCCTTTTATTCAGAAGCTAGGAGAGTGCTTTTTGTTAGCTTGTCTCATCTATTGCGTTTCCAGGCCATCTATCAACAGTTACAGTTATCCCTTTAGCTGCTCCTACCTATATGATGATGAGAGAGAAACCATGAGCCAGGCAGAGAATATATGGACTGTCATGACACCTTTGTCTGTTGCATTCAATGGTTTTTGCTCAGAAAAAAAAGCATCTGGCCCTTAGGAACACCACTTGGCAGTGACAAACGTGTGTGTATTCTGACATTCAAACTGAGGGATCATGTCCTGAGATTTCTTCTTAGTTACTAGTCTGTATGACCAGTGTTTTTAAAATAGTGGAGGCAATATCCACTATCCAGGATATTTTTGCTATTTATAATTCCCATTGTTGCAACTGTCTGGGGATGATTAGATCGGATGACTTCAGTGGTGTGATAGCTATTGATATAAATAACTTTCCAGAAGATTTCCTTATGACTTCAGAACAAATTAGCCAGTAAGAAAAACATTTCTGAAGGAGTTTAGTTCCCTAGCTATTTTCTGAAAACCGCACTAGGCACTGATCTGCACACAGAGCTAAAAATCTTTAAAAGCTAATCTTTGAGTGCCTAGGCTTTTCATTAAAAAAAAAAATCGATTATCAAACACCTAGGTCCCATTTTCAGGAGTCTCGGGCTCCTCAGTTTCTTAAGCATTTTTTAATATTGTGCTTTCTGAGGAGCTTAGAGAAAATGGAAGAAATGTTCGCCTAGATGAAGGCCAAAATAAACTGTATGTATTCATCAGTGATCAGAAACAAATAGTGTAGTTAATGAATAGCTAGGGAAATCTGGCCAAGGGACAGAAAATTATCCCAAACTCTCCACTTATTTGAAGCATACCTAAAGGTCTGCTGTTGGAAAAAGTCTTTCCTGTGAGACTTCCAGTGTTTCCTGGCTTCAGCCAGAAAAGGAATAGTGGAAGAAGTGCCTCTCACTTTATTTTGGTACTTCTGTTTCTGATCCTTGAAGAAGGGAAGCAGAGGCATGGTGTGTGTTTGAAAATAAATTAACAAACTTCTAATTGCTCTTTCAAGTGGGTTTATTTCATTCCATGTTTTGGCTGCAGTTTTAAATCGTCTTTTTGTGGACTAACGCTGTGGAATTGTTTCACTCTTCCCTAGGAGGACCAAAGATTTCAGGCAGTCCAGAGGCCTAAATAACAAAAAGGTGAACCTGTTTGTCATTCTTTTCCTTTCTAAATCTGAGTTTGTGCACCCAAATGCTCAAACTTTGTGTGTGTGCCTGCACGTGTGTGTATACAAGTACAATTTGGATAACCTCCTTAGATTAGCTGTGAAAACTGGAATTCCTAGTCCTGATTGTTAATTGACTGAGACACCTTGGATGGCGTAAGAATCTGCCCCTACAATTCAATGATTTCATCAGAAGAGACTTCCTTTAGGTAGCAACAGAAAATGCTGGAAGTCTTTGACGTGTTCTCATGCTTGCGTTTTTCAGTTATATGACTTCTTATGTGGAAAGCTCTTTCTAGCCCATAATAAGTATGCAGATAGCATCCTATAAAGATTTGCTTGATTTACTGGAGATAGATACTACTATGGCAGCAAAACATTCAAGGTGGTGTCTGAGGTAACTGCAACTCTTTACCTTAGCAGAATGAAGTTAGCTAAATGTTATTCCAGTACGCAATGCTTGCCATACTGTGGCATGCTGTGTGCTATGTGGAAACACAGATGTCCCTCAGCTCCATGCACCTCAAAACTTTCCTCTGAGTGACAGCCCTGCTTTTCTTGGAGAAAGTTTTAGAAGTGTTTCAGAGCCATCTAAAATTGGAAACCTCCAGAGAATGAGCTAATCCCTTGGCCAAGCAAATATGAATATAGTTGAAATTTAGTAAAACCTCTGAGACTTGCTGAAGTCATCTAATGCTAATCAGTCAGCGAGACTCTGCAGAGCGGGAACAAGGCTGGCACCGTGTACTCCCTGGTGCCAAGGGAGTAACAATCCTTGCCTGTCACGGTAGAATTAGTGTGTTGCTTAAGGTAAATGAACTGCAATGAACTTTTCTGCAAAAAAAAAAATAGTTATTCCTACTCACTTGCATAATGAAAATGTAGAGGATTACTTAGTATGTTTACAGTGAAATAAGTGTATTGTCGTGCTGAATTAGTCGGTGGTATGTTACCATAGATGGTGGTGACAAGTAGCAAATGCTTCTGAAAAGTGTAGAAAATGCAACTGTAAGATCACATGCAATAATCTACTCATAAGGGAATGTTTCCCTTAGACTGTTTATAATTTGGAATGATAGACTTGCATCTCTTCAAGACTCTCTTCTTTATTTCCAGTTTAATCTAGATGATGTTGCTAGCCTTGATGTAAACACTAGGGGATGCAATTATATCTGGGGGAAAGAGGGAAACTTCACTTTGAGACATTATACATACCAAAAGACAATCCTTAGGTGAACTGATTATAATATAAGCAGCTGACAAAAGTAAAAGGTATCCTATGTAATATTCTAAAGAGTAATTTGATCAAATTTGTTCTTGCATCTACTGCAGACTGAAAAGCTGCTTGAGTTCTAGCCTATTTTTCTAACCAAAAGTTCTTCCCTAATGTTTCTTCAGGACCCAGATAAATAGGCACATGCCTTAAAAAAAAAAAAGTATCTCAGTATTCATTTTCAGTTCTACTCATTCCACCAACTAAATGTATAAGAGCAGTGTCGTTCCCTCCATTCTTTCTGCTTTCAGTTGTCTGCAAATTTCAGATGTCTTGAGATGAGGGGAGCGTGCAGCATCCATACAAAACAGAGCTAAGGCTATTTCAAACCTTGGTTGGTGTAATGATCTCAAAAGCTCTCCATTTCCACCCCTCTATACTGTGTATTAATATGGGTATCCTTACCAAAGGAGGCACTTCTCACATGAATATATAATAAACAAGCATGTTTCTCCCTTTCTGCTTTATCACTGAATGCTGTCTTTATGAAGTACTCTACCTGCAACTGTTTTGTCTGTTTCTTAAAATACCTTCTTTCCTTGTTGAAGTCACTGATTAATGCCAATGATTATTACGCACTGGGTTTTGTTTAATGAGTCATGAGATGCCTAACTTCTTGACCAGATCTTCTGCCAGGGCTTGTTTAACAAACTCTCTTGCCTGTCAAACCAGGTACTGGATGAGGGAATTATTCAGCTGAGAGCATCAGGTACTGCTGTGAGCTAAAGCTCTCCAGCAGATCTGTAAAAGGATGCAGGGAGAGACTTGGCCAGTGGATTATGTTCCCAGTCGGGCGTATTTGACTGGGATTTCTCCACTGGAAATAAAGGAGGTATTATTCAAAAGAGAGGTTATCTGAAGATACCAGGGAGGAATTGTGTTGCTTCCTCTGGTGTTCTTTGAGTATCAGCAAGCTGGTGAGCCGAGACACTACCAAGACAGTTCTTTGCTGCAGAAAACTGCAGTAACTGGTGTGTTACTACCTCCTTTTTCTGTGCTGCTGCTGCTCCCTGGTGTGAGGGAGAGGTCATGGTAGAAATCCATAATTCATTAGCCACATTAGGTACCCTTTTTCTTATGCTTGCTC